TGACTGATGACAGGAATGATGAATACCCATCCTCCATTCACTGTTGATATTCTGTAGAATGATAACTGGCATTACAGCTCATTTGATATAATCATTCTTCTTGAAACTGTCTTTAAAATAGGCTTATTTCTTTCTTGAATTATGAAGCATCTAGGGTTGCTTTTTTAGTACTGTTTGTTGGTATCTTATCTTCCTCAAAGGTTTTGATTTTGACTTCATTGTAAAACTTGCTTATCAATTTTGTGAACTAAATGTTAGCTTTTATGCTGTTACTTGTATTATCTCGTCGTTGATTTGACCGATTTGATCGATCTCTGTTGGGCAGATGGGCTGCTATATGGATGCCTCCATATTTCCTCGATTTTAGTTATATATTAATGATAGATAGTGGCTAGCAGTAGAATCTAGGAAACTCGTTTCTTCCTATTTGGGATGAAAAATTCTCACTGTAATCCGGGACCGGTCGCTTCAAACGCCAGAGCATTACCCAATAGGAACCACACCGTTCACTGGGAGACAGGTACATCCAGCTGACGAGTGTAAATAGGATAAAACGCGAGTCCTGGATTCCAATGATAACCATTACCTATCATTAATATATGCATATTTGTTTTGCCTACAATGATAGACTGCTTCGTATGTTGCGCGCCGGTTCTATTCCAATACGAACTAGGAGTATAGTGACATGCATTTTGTGGAGTAGTCAGAACAAAAGGTGTTATTTACTACTATTGTGAAGAGACATTGCACTTCTGTTCTTTCTAAGAGTAAGTAGATTGTAATTTTGATCTATCGATTTTGGTTTGGGTTGAGCACGTGGGATTTGATAGACACATTGGTTACCCATGCAGTGGTCAATTTGTGCATATAACCTATAACAACAGAGATGATCAGTTGTAACATGAATACCTTGATAGTAAATCTTCTGATTTCAGCACTGATGTAACAACCAGCTCTTGGTAGATTTTTGTCTAGGCTGTAGGTACGCTGTTGCAGAGGAGTGCGTAGAAGTGTGAGTTTAACGGCGGCTACGAGAATCTGCAAGAGAAAAACATGAGCCGACGACAACAAGCGCTCGAGATGTAATTACATTCAATAATAAAAGATAATCATCAAGCGATAGTGATTTATAGCGAAGAGATAAAGCAGTCTAGAAATCAAAACTGGAAAGTTGATGAGTAAGGTTTCAAATACGCTATACATTTACAAAGCGTTAAGTCTTCGAGGGAAAATAAGTTTTCTCAAGGTTAAAGAATCAAAACTTTCTTCGTTCATCGGTTGACTGATTGACTATCATTCGTTTTATAGTTATATCCTTCCAAGCATATTGTATGTTATGTAGATATAAAAATGTGAACTTCGAATATCAGAGTTAAGATAATTGTTTTTTTGGAAAACGTTTTATGTGTAGTAGAATACTTTTCTACTTAGTAACAACTATTAGATGTGACTTGTGTGTTTTTAAGGACGCGGTTACTGTCCTTCACTGCAGTTCTTTTATGAATAAAATTTCAAATTGTTTTGCTTGCAGTTATCGAAATCAGTAACTCATCGTAAAGATGTTCTACGCACATGCTTGTTTTACGAAATATTTGTTTGCTTTTTGGATTGTATATGTCAGTGTAGTTAAAAATGAAAATACATTCAATTTTGGCGGCTTTCTTTTGTAAAATGCATTGGTTTGTCAACTATTATAACCTCAAATATAGAAATGAAAGATATACTTGTAGTTTAAAATTTCGGTATGAAGAGGAAAAACGAACCTTTGAGGTGATCATTTTCTGAAGAAGCATTTCACTGTAAGGCTAGAAATGATGATCTATAGAATTTGATCAACACTGAGGACCAGACAGCATGAAAATAGTTACTCTTCAGTTGCCGATCAATGTACCGTAGATAATGGAGATATGTCTAGCTGACGAGTGACATTAAACATGAAACCTAGATGGAACGAGGCTTCCTGTCTACTGCTCCTAACCTTCCAACATGATCAGAATCACTACTTGTTTAAAGTGGAAGCCTCTTTTCCCGTGAGTGAGTATTGATAAGTTACGAGTCTACTCAGACATGACATTTTGATTGAAGTGGGAAGAAATACAGAAGTGTAAAAGTTGATTGCTCAATAGATATGATATGCTTCAGTTTAATGGGCAATGTATCTTGTTATAGTTAACTGATTTCCTCTTTTCAGTTGAAGTGAATCCAGGTAGAATCGATATCAGTTCACTTTTAAAGTGCTTCATTTCGTTGCAAAATCGTAACGACGACATCTTGTATATGACCAGTTTAAAACGTACTGGGCTAGTTGTACAGTCATTTCAGATGCTAAAATTGAGTCTTCATCATGATTACTCCTCTTCATGTGGTTAGCTGTTCACTTGTGTAATAATAAGTTGTCCACAATCATATTTCCTTTCTTCTAACAGATTTCATCAGTTGGATTTACAATAGATTGATTTCTAAGCTCAGTTCGTGATTAAAATCCTCCAGAAGGTTTGTGGGGACTGATTGATTGCTTTCAAGGTGGTATTCACCTCAGACTGAAATCAGTTTCAGAATTACTGAAAACCTAGGAGAGCTGAAAAGCTGTTTCGTCCCAGTATGGGACTCCTCAGCAGTGAGTATCCAAGATCTCGGTAGGGATTGAACCCATGCTGAGTGGTAATGTGCTCAAAATAAAGCTTGAATATCCTGGACTCGATCCTCAGTGGGTTTTTAGGGGCATACTAATGAAAAGTCATATACCAGGATAAAATAGCTGTTCAGCGCTCCCAGGTTTTCAGTGGATTGCACTGTTGTACACGTATCGTTCTATCTCGTAACATAATTTCTTCTCTTATGTGGCGTTCAGTTTTTGCATATACAAACTAGATTATTGATTCATTAGTTCTAGTTATTAAAATAAAGTAGAATTGATTTTCTAGTCAATTGGTTTTTATATTTTCAAGGCAGTAGTATGGGTTACTCCATGTCATCGATTTCCGATTAATGCAGCATTTAAACAAGTGAATTCTATTTTAAAAATGCTTAGGACTTTTTGAGCAGTTTGTATCAAGCGATTTTGCTTTGAACGCCACTATGAGTTGTATATTCTGACATTAAATACTTTACACGTCTATTCTAAACTGATTTCAGCGTTGTTCATATTAGTCTATGATTGTGACTTCATGTACTCCAGCTGATGCACCGCGCTATGATTTATCAAGATCCGACAGCGTTAAATGAAAGGATGGAAGTGAAGACTTGAGACTTCATAATAACAGTAAAGTTAAATTCAAAAAGTCCAACCGAAAAGTGTGTCAGTAATAGAAAACTTAATAACCAGATAAACAAACAAAATATTTAATAACAAGACACACAGTGCATATTCAATGTGATCTGCATGATAGCCCCTGCGTAGAATGCAGATATAAGTGGCTTTATATGTCGGATGGCTGAAGGCGATTAACAGGAAACTATGCAACTGGGTTTCATGATTATTGACACTCATCAGCGAGGCGTATCTGCAACCTTGAGTAAACTTATTTATACTCAGTGATTCAAACCCGCATCATCTACTGCTATGATCACAAACTATGAGTTTGAGATGCTTGAATTCGACGGTGCTGGATCAAAGTGCCTGCTTTAAACCTCGTGACTGAATGGTGCCGTTTAGTCCTGGTCTCGACCTCTCATGACGTCTTGGACGTTCACTGTTGATGAGTTCCAACCCATGACGAAAAAGCTGTCGAGGTTTCCAATGGTTCTCCAGCTTACACCAATATGTGACGAAGACTCCATTCAAATTCATAAATTCCGGCAATCCAACAAATGAATTATTTACTTGTTTCGAACCCCAATTTCAAACCTTGAGGCTTTCAGTATGTGTGTATATGTTCATCTTTTCCCGATATTAGTGGAAATCAGCTTATGGTGTCACAGAATTCGACCACTAACATACTGTTATGCTGTTCACTTTTGTCTTCTTTTCATATTCCCAGGTGAAGGGACTATTATAGACAATGAGAGATGGTTAGTACTATAGTTTATCAGTTAGTAATGATTCTAAGCGTGTTTTTTAACGAATTATTGAAGAAACTAATCCTACTTCTGTGATACTTCATTTGAATCATTGCCACATACCTGTAATTACATTTGCTCATCAACCAATCATCTATCGGTCGAAAAATGTACGACTGGTTATGTGTGCTTTACCATAACTTTAATTGCCTTTGAGATTGTTCACCGTACTAAAACACTTGTTGACTTATGAATGTCTGGTCCTATAAGTGATACGATAAGCAGTAGTTTTGTTGAGTTATTAAAACATTCTGATCACTGTGCCTGAAATCATTTGTTCATCAACACTGAATGCCAGTTTTTATTGCACATATCTTCTACCGATTATACTTTTTATTAATGGCCTGTAGATCAAGTATTGGCACTTATGTAAATAAATAATAAAAAATCGTCGAAACATTTGCTTAAGGATAAAATTTGCATGATCAAATAAAACTGATGAGAACTCGAAATATTTTACAGGCGTTCCTCAAGTTTTCAATACTTAGTTTTTAAGAATGAACTTACCAATTCAAAATCTTTCTGTAAGCATATAACGAAGCTTAGTGTTTGCCATATTTTGAAAGCTTAACCAGCTTACGTTGATGTTATAGCTTATGAATTCAAAACTACCCATCGTATAAAGAGTGGCTGTCGTGACTTGCTGGCAGAGTAGATAACCCCTTGACGTTTGAAGCGATAGGTCCTGAATTTGAGTCCTGCTGAGAAAAGCCTCACTCACTGGGAGGCAGGTGCATCCAACTGACAAGTGAGTCTCAAACAGGAAGAAGTGCTCGTCCTGAATCCCACTAGTAGCCACTACCCATCGTCAGTTAATCAGTTTCTGTTTGAATTATGAGTCTAAGTAGCCTAAGTTAAAAACAACTAACTCTCCTCTCCATCACTTAGTCGACATAATGACAGGAATTGCCATAAGAACGACAGCAAAAAACTGACAGTAGTAACTTTCCATTCATTTAAAACTACATATGAAATTTTATCGTTGTCATGTCATCACTATACAATAAAGTGTGAGGAGACAATTGAACAAAAAATATTTGTTTTGATGGATTGATTAGATGGGAGTGATAGGATCACTTTATTTAAAAAGAGCAATCACAGGGCCTGAAATGGAAATGAAAACTGACGAGTTGTATTGTCTGGAAGAATCGAACAACCAACAGCCAGCTGAACAACGATAAGAAAAAACAGAAAGGTATAGTAAAGCATCAAAATCATTTCTAAAAATCTAAAGTGGATGTCTAAATTTGTGTTCCATGGACAGAATGTTTTTCTGTTTCTCATGAACTACAAACTTTTGTTTGATATACACAAATGATGTATATTTTACTGAAAGTATGTTAATAAAGTATAATAACTAAAAGAAATCTAATCAATAATTTTGTACAACATTAAATGTTTCAGTGGTCTAATGACACTATCATTCACTACAACTGAAAATAAAGCAGAAATAAAAGTAGGTGCATTTTAGAAATATCACTACAAATCAATCTAAATTATTGGGAAAGGATAGGTAGAGAATTAGGATCAGTTTTGAGGTTGTGATCACCAATTTCACCAAGGCTTGACGACAAAGGTTTAACTTTTTAGACATATTTTATGCTACTAACAAAAGTATGAGTAGTATTGTGACACAATAGAAAAAACAGTAGGTGTTGAATATATACACCAGTATCAAGAAAAATTACATCGAGTTGTGTTCATCAGCTGTTAATTCTTCAAAATCTTTTAGAACTCTCTCAAAGCTTAATACTAAAGGAATGGTAATTTTTAAAGAGCAGTAATGTTAATATGTTCATCACCAGTAATAGATGTACAGGCAGTTCCAGAGGTAACTCCATCATCTCCACTATATGAGGATTTAGTGGGAAAATCTGTTACGTCATTCTGACGTGATTGTTTGCTTCGTTGAGAATGTTTTGCTACACGGCGTTGTACCAGTAAATCTAAGCGCTTTTCTGAACGACTTATAAGATTTACTACTTCACTACATGTTAAACTGTCCACTGGTGTGTCATTCACCTTGTAAGAAAGAAAACAGATTGAGGTGATCTCAAGGTTATATGATATTAATAAGTTAAAACTAAACATTTTAACACAGAAAAATTTGATGTATGAGTTTATAGAATAATTAGTTACTCGTCAAAGGTTGGATAGATAGGTAACGCCAACCTAGAACCTGGTTTTACTACGTAATGGGAAAAGTTGCCACACCTCATATCAGCACTCCAGGTAAGAATGAATCGAGATAAAAGATGGTCTCTGGCAAGATCGTAGGTATGCACTACTAAGGGGTTCCATGCTAGGATGAAACACTTGTCCAGAGATCCCAGTTTTTCCATAGTTCTCCAAATGATACAAGTCTGTGATGAATGCCACCTTGAAATCATTCCATCTCAAAAAGCCTCCAAACTATGTTCCACTTGTCTGCCTTTCCGTAGACAATCTTTGGGATAAAATCCACTACTCAAGAGAAGTTTTAAATATGACTGAGGCAAAATGCTTATCGAATTTTCTAACACTCTGTATTGTATTCTTTCTCGACAATCAATACCTTTAAATCAAATCCAAAATAGAATTAATGTTACTTAAGCGTTTGATATCAACTGGGGGCAAGAACTGAACACTGTCATACACTTGTTTACAACCAAGATAACTGTAAGTAGTAAGTTGTTCACCGTTTGAATATAAGGTGAATTCATTTCCGAAGGGACAATTTCAAATAAGTTAGTGTTAGTGGAGTGATACAGGATTATAAAAAACAACTCGACATAGGATCAAATCAAGTGGGTGCGAAATACACTGTTTGTGGTGAGAAATCTCAACTTGATTTCCCATAGAAACCAAGATGTTCATATCTAGATATGTCCTACCCGTTACCACGATTGGCGTGAAGATTACAGGCATAAGAACTGACACTGACTGGCATTAGCAGTAACAGCAACGAGAAGTGCTAGGCAGTCACATCAAGGTGATGTGGAGAACGGACAGTCATCAGGCTCGTTTGTTGCCCACATCGGTGTTCTGCATAAATAGATCGGGGTGCAACAATCAAATTGTTCAAACTAGTTTTATTACTGGCCATCTTGTTCAGCTGACTGACTGAATGACTGGCCACACAAATTATGAAATCAGGGGCTGGCAAGAATGCGCAATTCGTGCTGACATATCTCACTATGCTTTCCTATGCAGACCAAAATATTCATATCACATGGTATCATCAGCTTGACACGACAAGTGACGTCAACATGACCAGCATTAAACTGCACGCAATAGACTACTGACTGACATGAGTAGTTTTAGACCATTCAAAACGATCAGCCGTGCCAGCTAGGCGGATACAGATAACGTAATCACTGAGCAGAACATTCATTTGAATTAGACAAGCACCTACAAATCTGTAAAGGCACTGAATTAACTTGCAAACTGGAACTGTTCAAACCACCTGAATTGTGATAGGGTAAGTGAGCTGATTGACCATACCTAAAATAAGATCAGGTGATTACAAAATACACAGTCCATGGTGAGAAATCTCAATCCAAGTAGCAGAAACGTACTGCAAAAACCTACGCTGTTGGTTAAAGTTGGTCATTTCATACTTGATGGGAAAAACAGTCGGTTGGTAGAATCTGAAAAATAAGCGTAAATATGGATTTTTACATGTTCCATTTTATCAAACTCAAATTTAGATTTTGTAAATCAGTGAGATGCATATGATTCTGTGAGCTCCAGCTCATTGATTCAGATACTTGACTTCTAACCTATAGGTAATAGCTTCGAACATAGCTCTATCTAACAAGTTCAGGCAACCAGGTAGTATTACTAACCATCACAGAACAGGTATGGCTTATTAACTACTGCAAAAATGTACACATGGTTGCTGAATTGACTACAGTGTGATCCTTTCAGATAACTTTCAATGACTGTTGGCTTAAACCATGATACCTGTCTAATTTTGTGATACACCTACGAGAGTGAGAATAGATCAATGATGATTCAAGATCACAAAAGTGCTGAAATCTCATAAGTAAGAGATTTCGTATTTCAGGCACTAGTGCTCATAACTTCCTTCCACTTAACTTTCTGAGTCATTGGATTAGTAATGTCTTTAAAAAGTGGTTATTTAAACTAAATCGTATGCATAGAGTTTTTAAGTGAATCCATATTTCTGTATAAGTCTGCAAACAAGCAGAGTAATGTTACTTATAAACAATAAGTAGATGTTCCGACTAAAGAATCACTCATCGTAAAGCTATTGCTAACTCATTTATTCGTTTGAATTTCATAGATTCAAGATATAGTTCCCACAAATGAATGACTCTATTGGTATTTTTCATCAAAACTATCTTATCGATGGTTAACAAGTACACCACTATAAAGTGAAAATGACTGAAGCACCATAATATACTCATAAGTATATCTGAAGCAATTCAATTTGGGGGCTTGTTGAGATTGATTGATTTAACGGTAGAATCTGTCACTGATTCACATTGGCTAGAAAACTGTTGAAAGCCTGGGATCACTGGTCAGCTGTTTCTTCCTAGTAAGGGACTCCACTGAGGTTGGCACTCAAGACCTAGCGAGGGATGAAACCCAGAACTGTCGCGCCTCACTGCGAGTGTGTTACCAGTGGGTTGAAATCGAATGGTGCACAATTTCCGAATTCTACCTCGTCGCCATATAGCTCAGCCATCGTATGTGAAGCAGGTGGCCATCTTTAATCGTCTCTCGAGTCATTTAAAATTTTTAGTAAATTATACCGCCTGTCGCTTCTATCTCAAGTTAGGATCGAATAAACTACCTTATGCTTCTGATTTCACTCAGAAGGGTTTTGACCATGTGCATCATAGTGAAAGTTTTCACTGATTTCTTGGTTCGAATGAGTTTTTAACAGATATCTATCTCTTTGGTATAACCTGGACAATCGAAGATGCATTTACGGTATACACGTGAAGTAGTCAAAGTGATTAAATCCGATTTAATCAATGAGCAGTTTTACTCAGTAGTTGTGAAATGTCAGTGCAATAAAAGAAAGAATAACTTACCATTAAAATTCTGTCGTATAAATAGAGTTTACCAGATAATTCAGCTGGGGAGTTTGGACGAATTGCACTAACAAATATGCCCAAGGTGGATAAACCTTCAGATACACCGATACCATATGAATCTGTAGTTGATGTCTTCTTTAAACGAATCCATGTACACCAAGTATTCAATTCAGCGAATTCTTCATGCTTCAGATTTTTTGAAGCAGAGCTTTTATTAGACTTGGAGGTTTTAGGATGTGTTCTTTGAATATGTTTAGGAAATTGTGAACTGTTTGTTTGAATATTCATTGGTGATCCTAAAGTGTTTGATTTGATTCTTGAAATTGTCTTCTGTTTGACTGGATTTCTGTAAAGGGATGTAGAAAAGAAAAAAGGCAAATAAGGGTTTTCAGAACTAGGTAAATACACCAGAAAGAAATTTCATGAGAATTGCCCTTTGTTCATCCTTTTAATTTCAGATGTTTTCTTCGGAATGTTCAAGTTATGACTGAAAGTCTGTCCAGATTGTGTTATGTATAAGAAGTGTTCCAATAGTTTAGAGCTTTGGTCTTTGAATTACTTAACGATAAGGAGAAGTTGTATTACTTATTTCATTATTTATACGATATTGGGTGAATCAAATCCCGGGTTACTCATTACTATTGAGTAATCAGTATTGCTACCTTTAAACTAAGTATTGTCCTAAAGCACTTCATTCAAATAACTTTGTACCTATGCTCAAAGGAAAAAGCATTCACTCATGCACTTGTTTTACCTTTCTTATTCTTGTATCACAAAATAGGATGCACTTATGTCTCTTCCATCCAATTATTATGCACTTTCGAGGTTTGTGGGGACATACTACTTTTAAGTTGGCATTCACTACTGATTGGCTTGTTGGAGAACCTTTGAAAACCCGGAAACATTTGACAGATGTTTTGTCCTGGATTTGGACGCCTCAGCTGTGCGCACCGATGAGGAGGCGTACAAGAAAAGCATTTTCATGAACCACACTGCTTCTGAAATTCACTTGCAAGTGTTCAACAATAGAATCCCACTTACAATCATCAGCTTTTTATATTTCCTCAATAAATTAGGAGTTTTCATCAATCTGTGACAGGGAGAGACTTTGACACGGAATGGCTGGCATTTAAATTTAATGAAAAACAACTTTCTGTTGCAGGCTGTAGATGCTGCCTTACCAATGAGTATAAATAAAAGCATTTTCAAGTTGCAAGACTTTCTGCTTTTTGTTTTCGTTTGTCTGACCTTGAATATAATGCAGTTTGACGCTATCCAACTTGAAATAACGAGTATACTTCTTTCAACGAAGCATAGATTTTGACAAAGGGTATGGGTATTAAAGCATTTAATAATGCAGTCCTTTCGAATGAATACCTTACAAATCGATTACGTTGAATATCAATGCATATCACTGTCAGCAGAAATTAATGAAAGTCAACAGACGAACTTTGTCATATTTATAGCATCTGAAAACTGGTGCAGTTGTATGAACTCCAAAAAAATAAATATCTATTCAGAAGAACACACTAATATTCACTAAATTTAGCTTATAATGACAAAAGAAAATCATCTGACTGCTCGACAGGAGGCAAGTATTTGGCTCAAAGGCACACTCTTGATCGCTAAGAAAGAAAGCACACCAAGGCTTATCCTCTCGTTGTTAACATGCAATATAAGTCAGGTCATAAAGTACTCACTACCATTTATTGAAGTGATTGAAATATGTGAAAAGTATCCAAAACTAAAGGCTACCTCGAAGAAAACGATTGACAGGGTAGAGACAAATGAAGGTTTCGGCTTATACAAGCTAAGAAACAGTGTTAATCTGTAAAACGAGAGGGTGGTGTTCTGAGTTGTCTGTGGAGTTAAAGCGCTTCCAATTGAAGTTCACCGTGTAATAAGAACAAGTGGTCCAAAAGAGCTCCACATCAGTAAACCCACCCCAATAGCTGCATGATTCCATGGTTGTTTCTCATAACCTTAACAAGTTTAATTTATTCAAATTGGTGTACTTTTGTGATTAAATGTATATATTCTAGAACACTTACATAACAGATGACTGACAGTTATATGTATTTTGAGGTGGATGCATCTGAGAAGAACCAGCTGACATTCTTGTTGAATAGGTCACACTTAGGCTGTTTCTCTTCTCAATATCTGAACTTTCATCACTCAGATCTATCGATCTGATCAAATCCAATCGACTGTCTGACTTAGAATGATGATCAGAAAGCATATGTGAAGAGGTCATTTTCTTTTGATTCACTCGGGTATTTTCTTCAGTATTTTTGGAATGTTGTTGTTGATACTGGTTCTGTTGTTTGTCATAATGAAAAGTAGATGGTTCATGAATAAGACTCACGGGTATTTGATTGTCATTTTTACTTAAATACCAAACTGGTGGTCTGTTAGCATTTCCTGGTGGATAATGTTGTTGTGGATGTGGTTGGTGTGTTTGAAGATGATCAAAATCTAGTTCAAAATAGTTGGATGTAAGAAATGCTTCAGATGTTGATCGTATTGTACTTTGACTTAAATAAATAATAAAAAAACAGAAAATGTAATTTAGTTATTAAAATGATACTTTGTTCTCCTAGTTATATATTAAAAATAATACCAGCAATGTTTGCTACAGGAAATAATGCCCATGGTTAAAACCATTAGATTCTTTCACCTGGAAAGGTTACTTCAGGGAGAAAAATTATTTTTGGTGATATCCTCTACAGCTGTACAACCGTATTTTAATATTACTTAGTACGCATAAAAACATTAACATTTGTTGATCAGTAATTGCTAGTAGTTTGTAGTCATGATAGTAAAATAAGGATACAAGTCAGTTAAGAAATATGGAAGCATTTCAAAGAGTGAATAAATGTGGATTGAAATCGCGAAGTAGAGAATTCGTAACAAGGCGAGTAGACAATTATCGGTGAGCAAGCCGATGAGAAGCCTGTAACTGAGCCTAAATAAATCTTTTACGTATTCGCAATGTGAAAATCAAAACATTAGTTGAGTTTCTGAATTGAAAAGATTGCTTCTGAGTACACATTCTTGGTTTCGACTTATGCACTATCAGGGTTTCACTAATGAAAAGTAAATGTTTCTTTCCATCCTTCGAAAGATTACGTTGTACTTTGTAGGTTGGTGCTGCGGACACAGTTACAGAAGATTCATCTGCAGTGTGTAACTAGTGTTGATTCTAGGTAAAAGGTACCCGGCAAACATGCAAGTTAGTCAATGAGGTTGTGAACTTCCACCGACTAAGGTGGTTTGGACATGTGTTGCGCTTGCCAAGTCACCAGCTGTCTTGATATGCAATGCTAGAAGAATTTGGATCATGTTGGATGAGGGTTCATGGTGAACAAATCCATAACACTGAACCAGAAAACCTTTTACTGTTAGTTTGGTCTTCGTAGGAAGAATGGATTCTCCGAGACCATAGGAACCGAGGTTTGAAGAATCTTGGTTAAACGGTGGAAAGTTGGTCGCAGTTAAGTAGATATATTCACTGTTTGATGTCTCCTAAAGCTTGAATGTTTGGGCTAACCTTCAGTTTCAAATTCTTTCTCCTTTTTGGTATCAATCTTTTTCTATCCACTTGTTGCCTGCATACAAATGTCAAATGCTGCAGCTTGAACCGATGCATTTGTATGCGAAGCTTTACGCTGGTTTCGTCTGTCTTTCACTTCAACGTTTTATTATCATCAAAATAAGTTTGGCTAATCTATTGATAGGTTATGGGACAAACTTTATCAATACTGGCTGAGGTCACACACTTGCTTGTTCGTATTATCTACATACTTTTCATAAAATAAATGTGATGATTTCACTAGAAAACGAAGTTGGTGGAAGAAAACGCTTAGAATAAGACAAAATCCGCTTATGAATATGCATAGACAGTTCTCTTAAGCGTTCGGGGACAAAAAGTAAAGTAATTGTTGTATGTTATGTAAAAAATATGTGTAAAAAGAAGGAATTCAATCCAGTATGTCAGTACAACTTTTGAAGTAGCAAACACTCTGTAGTATTTATCCAGTTCTTCAAAGATTTTGTGTCTATGTAGAATTACCTCTAAAAGAAGAAAGAAACCTAGTTGTTTATAAATTATTTTCAATCTATTCGCCAATTTTTCCTTTGTTTATATTACGCAAAACGGAGTGGTTTTAAGTTGGTATTCATCATGGACTGACATCATATGGAGAACCACTTACAAACCTGGTGGCATTGAACAGCCATTTCTTCCTCGTTTGAAGCCTCTAAGCGGTGTGTACCCACTAACCAACCAGGGATAGGATGCAGAACCTCCAGGTTCCTTTGCCAGTATGTCACCGTTGAGCCAAAGGTAGACTAGTCAGTGGTTCCAGGATTCAAAAACTATTCTTTAAGTATTCATTCACCTTGAGTATTCTGGTTCTGCTGGCTTACACTGAAAACTAACATGGAACCTAAGTTCATGTGATATCAGTAGGCCAGTAGAAGCTAAACGACTTGATGAAAATTTCTGACACACAATAAAGAGATTTTATTCACTGTTGGGAAGGGATGAATGCTTCTTTCTACCTAGTTTATGAACCCTCAGCTCAGAGAATGCTTAAACTTAAACATAATTAAATCAGTGATCAAAGATTCTACCTCTTAAGCATTAGATTGGGATTTGAATATAAGCACTTCAAATCCCCTTTGACTCACGGCATAATTGTGAGATGCAGAGGGAATTATCTTGTAAATTAAAAGTTTACTTGATCATACAAATTAATGAAGAACATTTTTATCAACGGTGGATGGAAGCTGTTTTATGCCTCAAATTAATTAAAAGTACTACTCACTTCAGTGACTTAAAGAAACAGTTGAATTTACTGAAATCAGGTTTGAAGAGATGTGAAACACACTGTAGGCAATTCTAAATCGTCTTGTGATTCGTCAAATGAACTATATGTTTTTTTGAAATCGGTTAACAAATGAATATATATCTAGGACAAGTCTATTAGTTTCTAACCATGAATAATAACTGACGGATATAAATAGCTTTTAATCTTTGGAATTCACTACAGTGATTCTTCTTAGATATTTGATAACTGGAAGTAAATTACAAAATATTCGTCATCTGTATATTTCGTCATCTTTTTTTATTCATTCACAAACAATTTCTGCCACCAAACTGTTTCCATTTTCAAAAACTTTATCATTGATGTCGTCTATATTAAAAAGTAAACCAAACCTATTGCGAGGCTTAAGAGACGTAAAGGAAAAAAATAAAAGAATTCGTAAACAAGTAAACAACTTATTCTGTTTATTTATTCGCATCACTTTTTGTCTTTCAGCCAACTTTAACATACCCAAATGACGATTAGGGAAATATATATTGAATACAAGGCATTAAGTCATCATACTGTAATATGATGTAAAAATCAATACGTTTAAATTTGTTGATTCCATTTGGTTATGTTCACATTCATCTGTCTGTTATTGCCTTCATTACCAAGTTATTTATTTATTCATTTATTCGTTTTCCGTATTTGTTTAGATTTAAATTAGATTTAGCCTATTGGCCAAATTGGTGAAGAAGAATCTATGGAGGGAAAGAGTTAGGACACAGTTAAAATTGGTAATGGTTTGTTAGTTTACTTCAGAATGATAGAAACATGGATATGAAATAAGCATGTGTAATATGATACTTACAATAAGATTCAGAAACAGTCTGCCAAAGCTTTGAAACACTGAGCGGATTCATCTGGACAGTTAATTTTCGAATAAAAGTTTTGGAACACGTTTAATATCTAAACTGACATCTAATCTCCAAGTGATATTAGTTTTAGCATCAGGCAGAAACAAATAACCTTACCACTGTTGTTCCGGTTTGCTTGAGCATCCTTGAAGACATTAAATATTACTGAGAAACATGTTTCTCAATCAAGATCAACATTTAGAAGGTCCTCAACAGTGTTTGTTTTCATTCGAAGACTTTGGATTGCTTTTATAATTGATTCTAAACGATTGCTCAACAACCTTAAATACGAATTCTTGATACTTGTAACTTTCTATGCATGCATACGGGATTTTGTGTAGATGCCTTGACGTTGCCTGGAGATTCACCGTGTTGTAATTTGCCTGGTGATAACTAGTACTGGCGTCCAAAGAGCGCGTTTCGCCCCATTTCAAGATTCGTCAGCTGATCGTACTTGAATAGCACTAAGTGATGGTGTTCCCACTGAGACTGGAACTCAAAACCCAAACCTTCAGACACCACAAAGTTATCTACTTTGCTTCTTGGTCGCTGTGTCAACTGCTAGCTACCACTAAGTAAATTGAAACATAGCTACTATCTGTGAAATTTTTACTGGTCTATTCCTCCAGTACTGATTAGGGAACACAGACAGTTTTGTTTTAAAAAGATGAACAAAATATGCAACCTCTATGTTTAATGAGACAACTTCAAAAAACTATTCTGGAATACTGATGCCTAAACTGATATCTACTCAGGAAAGCTCAAGTTCAGTGAGCAGTAAGACTAACCAAAGCATTCGCTGTGCTAAGTGTTAATATATGTCACTATCTCACTAACCGTTTGTAAAAGTATTGGCCTTTGTTAAGTAAGGTTAGGGATGAATATATAATCCAATTCTAAAGAAGAAATTCGGTGCTTCATTAACTACAGGAAAGATTGCATCCAAAACGAAGCCTTGAACATGTCAAACGTCACAAGAAAATTCACTCAGTGCATTTCTAAACTATCTGTTGCAGCAGTGTTAGCCAATACTGACTAAAGTAAGCGCTATATATTATGCAATCTCACTAAAAGTATTGAATGTCAAGATTTACAGTATAAGTAAGCAATAAAATTTCAAACATTAACATTTAAAACACAGAAACTATTTAGTGTTATTGCTTATATTGCACCACCGTTGATTTGACCGAATTGATCAGTCTCTGCTGTCATATGGACGCCTGTGGGATGCCTCGATATTGCTTGTGTTTCAGTTATGTATAGTAATGATGGGCGGTAGCTAGTAGTGGAATCCAGGATGTGCGTTTCGTCCTATTCGGGATTCGTCAGCTGGATGTACCTGCCTCCCACTGAGTGGTGTTGTTCCCACCGGGACTCAGACTCGGGGGCGATCGCTACAAACACGAGAGAGTTATCCACTACACCACTGAGCCACGATAGCCACTTCTTGCGCGAAGGGTATAGTTTTAGTGTTATTGCTTGTATTACACCGCCGTTGATTTGAAACGATCGCTCCCGAGTCCGAATCCCGGTGGGAACAACATCACTCACTGGGAGGCAGGTACATCCAGCTGACGAGTCTCAAATAGGACGGAATGTGCATCCTGGGTTCCACTGCTAGCCACTGCCCATCACTGCTATACAGAAACTATTGTTTATAATTTAGGTTTCATCACACAATTGAAACTAAGTGGAAAGTGACTTCGATAGAAGTATTTATAAGAGCATCAAGTAACTGCATAAAACTCTCAGCAGTACACAAAGTATGGCATCAAGTTCAAACGAATGCGAAATTCTGTTTAGATA